CCCTTTCTGTCTCTCCCTCTCTCTCCCCATATCACTCTGTCTTTTACATAATAAAAATTAATAATAAACATTTAAACTATAAGCTTAAAGGACAAGAACCACATCCAAATATCTTCATGGAGTCCAGCACCTTATACGAGGGGTCTTCAAAAACTTCATGGAAAATGCTCACTATGAAAAGACAATGTATGGATTTCAAATTTTTTTTTGCACCGAAACAAACATCCTTTAAAAAAAATTTTTTTATTTCTTGATTGCTTTGAGAGGCAGAGAGACAGGGAGAGCTCCCATCTGCTGGTTCACTCTCCAGGCCTCCCATGTAGGTGACTGAAACCCAATCACTTGAAGCAATAATTTATGTTTTCATTTCATTTTTCCACAAAAAATTTTGAAGTGATCTCATATGAACCTTGGAACACATCAGTAGCTGAGGCACTGAACTATAAGGAGCTGCACAAAAGGCAGATTATATGGGCTGACTACGCAATTCAATTACAATACATTTGGGTTACTGTAAAAAATATACATCATAAAAATTAAAAGGCTGCTTAAAATGTGAACTCAGTCTAAAATATTCAATCTGCTATGTCTGGGGCTAAATTCTAATTCCAGGTGGTCATCAACTTTTTCTTATTTATATCATACATCATCTTTAAAAAGGATCTGAGATAGGAGAGGAATAAATCAAGCTAGTTTGAGATCACGTTCAATGACAGTTCTTTGTAGGGTAGGCATTTGGTGCTGAAGCTGGGATGCCTCTCGGGAGGCCACTCACATCTTAAATCAGGGTTCATACCTGGGTTCAAGTCTGACTCCACACCCCATCCTAGCTTTCCACTAACGCTTACCCTGTTGGGTAGGAGGTGATGGCGAAGTAGTTGGGACCCTGCCACACAAGCAGCAGACTCAGCCTGAGTTCCTGCTCCCAGCTTTAGCTTGGCCCAGTCCCAGCTGTTCGTGGGCATCTGGGGGTGAACCACCACATGGGAGATCTCTGTTTTCCTCTTTCAAATAAGTAAAAGAATTTCTTACAGTGAGCTTTCAGAAACTTTATAAATATTTCCATCTTTCCTACAAAACATTCAATAATGATAATTTATCAGCTGGCTTCTTCTTTTTCCCCTTGAAAAGTAGATTTTAAAATATATAAGACCGTCAGCAAAGCAGTAAAACAAGTCTTGAAAAAATTCCTATGTCTACAAAAGTAGTAACTTTAATTAAGCAAAGGTACTCCTTGACAAATTACATTAGCAAAACAATTTTTAAAAAATGTATTTATTTCAAATGCAAAGTTACGGAGTGGGGCGGAGGTGGGGAGGGACACATCTTCCATCCACTGACTCACTTCCCAAATGGCTTCAAGGCCACAGCTGGGCCTGGTAGACACCAGGAACTTCATCCAGGTCTCCCACGTGGGTGCAGGGGCCCAAGCTCTTGGGCCATTCTCTGCTGTTTTTCCCAGGCCATGAGCCAGGAGCTGGATTGGAAGTGAAGCAGCTGGGACTTGAACCAGTGCCCATATAGAATGATGGATTACAAGCAACAGCTTTTACTCAATGTGCCACAATGCCAGTGCCACAAAACAAGCTTTTAAAATAGTTTTAAAGGCAATCGAAACATTTCACAATGCTTTTAAGAGGATTTCGAGTTGAAACAGCAAGGGAAATCAATTTGGAGGACGGAATAGAAAAGCAGCACACTAGGAAAGCCTAACCAGCAATTATTTCATGCAGGCCTGCTTATCACTCAGTGTACAGACATCAGAAATCACTGCTCAGTATGGAGAGGAACTAGACATTCAGTTCATTGGAAAGGACATGAACAAAGTAACACATGGCAGCACCGAAACACTGCACTTGAACATTTCCACATCTAGCTCCGGTGCTTGGTGCTCAAGGTACGCTGAGCACCCACAGGACCTGGGTGCTCGTGAGAAATGCCAGCCACGAGCTGGTTTCACTCCAGATCTACTGAACCACCCTACGGAAGCTGCCCTTGAACAAGATCCCCTGCAACACGCGGGCACTTCAGAGCTCGGGCGGCACCGTACTGGTGGCCTCTGACATCCTCCCATGGGAGGCTCTAGTTGAAAAACAGAGATCGAAGCCTATTCCTAAGCCTAGATTGGTCCTTATGTTTGAGAACACCTGATCCACAGACTGGCTGCACTGCCAATTCAGGATATGGGACCAGGTCTTTGCTTCCTTGGCAGGGGCCACCACTGCGGGTACAGCGATGGTGCTCAGTAAACCTGAGTGGGATGAACCGAGTCCATGAGCACAGACATATCAGATGTGGCCACTCTGAACAACTGGAGTCACACAGCAGAGTGTAAGTTCAAGCGTCTGGGGTCACTTAAATACCATTATTCTGTTACAAATAAAAAATATATCTTGGGGCTGGCACTATGGTACAGGGGGTTAAGCCACACTGCCTGCAGCACCTGCAGCCCATACAGATGCCAGTTTGAGTCCCAGCTGCTCCACTTTCAATCTAGCTCCCTGCTAATGTGTTTGGGAGGACACCGGAAGACAGCCCAAGTGATTGGGCCCCTGCACCCATGTGGGAATCCCAGAAGAAGCTCCTGGCTCCTGGCTTTGGCCTGGCCCAGCCCTGGCCATTGTGGCCACCAGGGGAATAAATCAGCAGATAGAAGATTCTCTCTCTCTCTCTCTCTCTCCCTCCCACCCTCCCTCTGTGCCTTTGCTTCTTCCTCCAACTCTGACTTTCAAATAAATAAATACATCTTTAAAAATACATCTAAAAATATTATTTACAATTAAATATGCACAGCCGAATAAATACAAAAGGATAACTCAAAGCATCCTTGTTCTAGTCTTGTGCTTTCTTTCAGAGTACCACGTGTGTGTTGCGAGCCTTGAGAGGTGTAGCCAGCCAAAGAGCGACATCATTTGGGAACTGCACAGCTCCTGCCCTCCCGAGACTGTAAGGGCCAGGTGCATGGCCAGTGCAGGACTGTCGCAGTCAGCCATCTGCATTCAGCAGCAAGGCACGCTGGTCATGCGTGGTCCTAACAGCTTGGGTTTCCTGCTAAGGACCCTAGGAAGGTGAATCAAATCATTTATTTCCCTGGCTTTTCTTTCTTTCCAAATTTATTTGCTTTTAGTTTTCTAGGAACTATAAACTTGAGCTACTTTCCATATTCTCAGGGGCTCTGGGTAGACAGACAAAGCTTGATGATTTCAGAGCAGACATAGGCCAAGAGACTGTGGCACTGGGGCTGGTGCTGTGGAGCAGTTAAAGCCCCAGCCTGCAGTGCCGGCATCCCATTTGGCACCGGTATGAAACCTGGCTGCTCCACTTCCAATCCAGCTCCTTGCTAATGTACCTGGGAGGGCAGCAGAGGATGGCCCAAGTCCTTGGGCCCCTGTACCCATGTGGGAGACCCAGAGGAAGCTCCTGGCTCCTAATTGGCTCAGCTCTGGCCATTGTAGCCATTTGGGGAGTGAACCAGCAGATGAAAGATCTCTCTCTGTGTGTCTCTCTCTCTTTCTGCCCCTCTGTAACTCTGCCTTTCAAACAAATAAAATAAATATTTAAAATGAGAGAGAGAGAGAGAGAGAGAGAGACCGTGGCATTGAGTATGTTGAGTCCAGGCAAGTGATATGTATATACACATCCAAATATGAAGAGAGGCTGGCGCTGTGGTGTAGAGGACTGACACTCTGCCTGTGGTTCCAGCATCTCATATGGGTGCTGGTTTATGTCCCAGCCACACCTCTTCCGACTCAACTCTCTGCTATGGCCTGGGAAAGTAGTAGAAGATGGCCTGAGTGCTTGAGCTCCTGCATCCATGTGGGAGACCCAGAAGTTGCTCCTGGTTCCTGGCTTTGGATCGGCCCAGCTCTGGCCGTCGCAGCCATCTGCAGAGTGAACCAGTGGATGGAAGACCTTTCTCTCTGTGTCTGTAGCTCTACCTCTCAAATTAAAAAAAAAAAAAAGAAATTGAAGAGAAAATGTATTTCTTTAGATTTCAAACACTATAACAGAGTAAAGCAAAAATAAAAACCTGTTGTAAAGTTCTAAAAAAGAGAGACCTCCAAAGTCACAAATGTAATTCCTGCCAGCAGAGGACATAGCAGAAATGGTATTAGAGACAAAGGGGACTTAAACAACGTTTCAGGGTGTGAACATGAACTAGGACGGAAGAACTGGTATAGTGCAGCCTCTTCATCTTTCTAAAGACATCTCAAAGACAGCGGGTCTTGATGTAATGCTGTCGCCTCGAGGGCATCAATCTGCACACTACAAGATGTGAATATGACCAAAAAGAAAGAGGCATGTTGAGGGAATTACAGGAGTCGACTGTGCTTTCACATGTGGAAGTAGGCAGCTGGGGTGCTTTCCTGAGTGACCACACAGTGGGGACCACACGTAACCCGTGGCCAAGGAGGCAGAATGCTTAGGTCAGGGTGCGAGGCGTGATCTGAACAGCACGTTTACTCAGACTGAGAGTAGGTAACTCTGGAAATACCCAAACCAAAACCCTTACAGAGAACGACCCTCTCCTACCTCGAAGATGAGCAAGATGTTACAGTTGGTTTGTGTAATCCTAGGGCTTACAAACATCCAAGCATAATCACTAGCACCGGCTGCTGAGCCAGGCCATCCACCCAGAGCCCTGAATGCCCCCAGTCCTGTGTATCCCTGCGTTCTTTATGAACACAACCTCCAATGCTTCTCTACCTGGACCATGTCCCAGGGCTGGGTCTGTAGCGAGTGACCATGAGGGATGAGATTGTATCTTCCCCCAGACAAAAAGCCCAGCTTATACCTTGTTCCAAGAGCAGTGCCCCCACCAAATGCAACACTCCCCACCAGCAACACAGCCCACTGCGTGTGCAGGCAGCCATGCTAGAGCCTCGGCCATCACCCCAGGGTGATGTCAGCTAGCTCGTGACCAGGGTAAAAGTGAAGACCCCGCACGTTCTCACATTGCTCCCCAACAACACCATTTCCATGGTCACGATTTCTCTTACCGGATCCAGGTTCTTAAACAGCAGGATGTCTTTGCAAGCCTCTTGCAATCTATTTCTTTGATCATCAGTTTTGGGATGTATGATCTAAAAGGACCGCAAAGGTAAAAAAACAAAGCCATTAGTCAAATATCATCTCACTCAGAGGGATAAATATCTCCTAAGCAAATATCAGTAGGAATCCTCCAAGGCGCTGCTAGTGCTCAAGCTTGCATTAGGTCAGTGTCAAGATTCACTGTTAGCCACTAAGTAGGGCAGGGGGGTGGAACACACTCATCCATACTGCACCTGAGTGATTTTCAAAACAGTGGTTTCCCCCAGGTGAGCAAGTTCATGGCGCAGAGCTCTGTGGCTGGCTATAACACTCTCACCCTCCCGCAGGTGGGGATGTGCACAAAAGGCTACAGCAGCCAATCAAGACACTGCTTGCTTCTTTTTCTACTGAGCTCAATGCTCTCAGGATGCAGCTCTTCGCTCTGAAACTTCATACAGTGTCTAAGAAGAAGTAAATTCTTAACTGTCCACCTCATTAGACGCCAAACACATTTTCATGCACACTGTCAACTGTCCCCTCCCTCAGCCTGTACGTGACTTTCAGAAGGGAGCAAGCCCATGCCACTTCAAGACAGGGAGGAACAGGGAGAATGAACCCCAGGGGTGCTGGCACTGTCGATGGAGAATGAACTGCAGGGAAAATAAAGCTCTCCACTCTCACTGTACTTTTCCTCAGGGGAGTGGAGACCAGCTGGAATGGCCTCTGCACGTGGGCCCTACCAATGCTCTGGAGCCTGTTTCGACTAACAGAAAACTCAGTTCACATGCACCAAAAGGCCCACTCTTTTGCAAGCATCGGCTGTTTGTAACTGCAAAATGAGTTAGATACAAGAAACACAGGAGAGGTTTCTTGGTGACCAACAAGGCACTTTTACCTATTCTAGTGTCACCCAAGGTGCAAGTGTGGGAGTTGACGAGCAGGTGCCTCACCTCCTCAATCAGCCAGCCCCAGGCAGCAGCGGGTTTGGTACCCACCACCGTATCATAACTCATAATGAGAAATTTAAATCAGTATTCCACGCCCCATCAGATGACTAGAACTGAATGAAAATCACAAGCCTGAGAAGCCCTGAGAACCAGGACAGCAGGTGTGACCTACAGCTAGGTGTCAGTTACGGATCCCAAGTGACTGGCAGCAAGTGGAAGACGTCACCATACTTCCTCCTCCAAGCGTCAAGAACACGTCAGCCTTTGCTTATTACTGTCTGCCCAGCAGTCACCTCTAAGTGGATTCTGAGACAACGAACAGATGGAAACAGAAAATGCAGATCCTGTTTCCACTACTTTACGGCTACGCAAGACACCTGGAACATGCACACACTAAGTGACACCAACCAAAACGTACTTCTTCCCACTTCAAGTGAGGAACACAATACACCAAACAACACAGCAAGTTACTCGTCACGTCACAAAACCCATCTAGAACCGGAGCAACCCTGAATGCCTGCCTGCTCAGGGCCTCTGTCCTCCTCGCAAAGGGTGGGGGCACCACGCCTCCAGGGTGCACCTGCTTCATTTCCGCTGTCAACTGAAACACTTCTGATGAAACCTTTACCGCGAGCAGAGCCAGGCATCTCCCTCTTTCCCCTCCCTGCTGCTACCTACCATCAATTAACCCTTTTAAACTGTTTTTGCCTTAGTCCTGCCCCCCAGTGCTACTGGCTGCAGATCTCCCAGTTCCCTTGTTCCTTTTCCCATGGATCAGCTCGGGCCACAGTGCGCTGCAGCCTGTGGCATAATTCAGGCCCCAACCCTCCCCCAGCCCGGGGTCTCCCGGAGGCGGCCTCACCCTGCCTCTCCATGGACTGAAGGTCTGTGTTGTCCGGATCCCTACTCTGCTGCACCATCCCTCCAGAACTCCCATTTTGGTGTTCATCACTGGCTTGCTTTCTGCTGGTTGCCTGTGCCTGCTGCTAGAATATAAGCTCCAGAAGAGCAGGCACTCAGCCAGGCTGCTCACTGCTGGATACGAGACACTAGGCCAGATATGCAGAAAATGCTCCCAAACAGAACAAAACCAAACCCCTGGGGAGCCACAGGACACAGAGGCATTCTGCTCTTACACTGACTGGCTTTTCACACCCAGCTTTGGCAAGCTGGGTGGACACAACCCCCAAGTGAAGGCATCCCAGCCAGATTTGAATCTATCTGAAACTCTTGGAAACTGGAAACCTGAACACAGAGACAATGGCAAAAAAAAAAAAAAAAGAAGAAAGAAGGAAGGAAAGAAGGAAAAGAAGGAAAGAAGGAAAAGAAGGAAAGAAGGAAAAGAAGGAAAGAAGGAAAAGAAGGAAAGAAGGAAAGAAGGAAAAGAAGGAAAGAAGGAAAAGAAGGAAAGAAAGAAAAGAAGGAAAGAAAGAAAAGAAGGAAAGAAAGAAAAGAAAGAAAGAAAGAAATTGGTATGGAGTCCGCGCTGTGGCATAGCGGGTGAAGCCACCTGCAGCACCAGCAAACCATATGGGAGTACTGGTTTGAGTCTCAGCTGCTTCGCTTCTAATCCAGTGCCCTACTGGTGAACCTGGGAACGCAGAAGACGGGCCATGTACTCGGGCCTCTGCCACACACATGGCAGACCCAGATGGGGTCCTTGGCTCCTGGCTTTGGACTGGCCCAGCTCAGCTTTGTGGCCATTTGGGTGATAAAAGATCTTTCCCTCTCTCCCTCTCATACACACACACACACACACAGAGATACACAGATTATCTATCTATCTATCTATCTATCTATTAATCTATATATCTAACGAGAGAGCCCCTCTATCTCTGCCACGTAAACAAATGAAACAAATCTTTAAAAAATCAAGAGTAATTGGTACCTAGGTCCCCCTAAAAACAAGCCTCCTAAGTTTTGCATCCATGCTGCTGCCTCCCAGAGCTGGCCTGGCTCCTGCCTGCCAGCCACAGCTTGGCCTATGAACTCTTTCTGGAATTCTATCAGAACTCCCTCTGTTCAACAGTCTGTCACCAGAATTTTCTTTTTCTTATTTATTTCAATGTAATTAGCTTCTTCTATGCAGCCAAATGAATCTTAACTGAGGGCAGCCTCTTCAACAAAACTATCAGAAATTAGTTTAGAGTGAATCAATCGGCTTTTGGGTGCTGGTTCATGTCTGGCTATTCCACTTCCGATCCAGCTCCCTGCTATGGCCTGGGAAAGCAGTGGAAGATGGCCCAAGTGCTTGGGCCCTGCACCCACGTGGGAGACCCAGATGAACTCCTGGATACTGGCTTTTGCTGAGTTCAGCCCTGGCCATTGCAGACTTCTGGAGAGTGAACCAGCAGATGGAAGATCTCTTTCCATGCAAAATAAATAAATAAATAAATAAATATTGAAAGAAAGAAAAAAAGGGGAATGGGCCAAAAATTCTGCCTGATCTGACGGGTGAAGTGGTGGCCAAAATTCCTCTCCAGATCTCACTGGTTTTGAGCGGTGAGTTACTACACTGTACTTTCAAACAGTATCAGTAAATGCTCTGGGACATAGAGTTTCACCATTTAAAGCAACTCATCGCATCTGTATCAGGGACTAAATTTTATCACAGACAGGTATGCACAAATCTGAAGGGGGTGTGGCCCTCAGATGTCACTCATGACTCTTTCTGTCAGTGCACAAAGACCCAGCGACCAAGGCGGGGTTTTCGTGGTCTGCGTCACAGGTCAGTGAACATGTCTGGAGCTAAGGTGGTGCAATCTCCAAGCTAAGATCCTTCAGTAACTTAAGTCCTGGTCCTGAGAAGCCACACTGGCCACTGAGAGGCTCCCTGGGGACAGAGTAAGTGGGCTGTCAGGATCTCCTGTGACCAGAGGCTCGCGCTGTTACTACCACCGGTTTTACAGGCGTTTCAGGAAAACTCAATGATGTGATGCCTTCAGGACACAGCTTCTGCTTTTCCACAATAACCTCCACCTTCCTGAGGCTCTGCTTCCCCATACACCTCCACTTTATTGAGGGATTTTTCAGAGGCCCTTGTTTAGGCTTTTTTTTTTTTTTTAACTAATTTTTTTTTAACTTGCTTGAAATGCAGAGTTACAGAGAGAGGAAGAGAGACAGAGAGAGAGATCTTCCATCCATTGGTTACTCCCCAAATGGCTGCAACAGCCAGGGCTGGGTCAGGCCAAAGCCAGGAGCTTATTCTGGGTCTCCCACGTGGGTACAGGGGCCCCAGTACTTGGGTCATCCTCAGCTGCTTTCCCAGGTACATTAGTAAGGAGCTGGATGCAAAGTGGAGCAGCAGGTATGGCCAACTCTTATTCTGTTTACTTTTTCCTGAATAAGTAACAGGGGGATTAAGCTAAAGAACACAGCTGAAAGACTCCTACGAGACACGTGGGACAAATCCTTAGAAAAACACTGGGCCTCTGACAATCAGCAGCTGAGCAAACCAGCAAGGGCCACAGAGTTTAAAAAGCACTAACTAACTGCTATCAGGACGTCATTTTTTGGTGAGTTTTATTCTTTTGTCATTTTATAGTGAGTTTCTGTTTCAGAGGGAGGCTCTGCTGTGACACAGGAAAAGTAATTTGAGGTTTTCCCCAGTATTTTTCTTCACTAGAAACACACAGGGGTGGGGTATGTCCAGCCGGCAGGCATATGAGGTCTATGACATTGCAACTCCAGGCGGGACTCAAAATCTCAAAAGATCTACACCAGGCTACTTCTTAAACTGATTGTTTTGTATGGACCTGCGAATGATGTTGTAAGTATCCAAGTGGCCCTTGGCAGAAAAAAGGCTCCCCAGCTCTGTAAGAAAAATAACATTATCACTGAAAACTGCAAAGATTTTCCATCACCAGCACGTATTTGGCCAAAGAAATAAAACTACAGCTTCAGTGAGCACATCCAAGAGGTCCTCAAAGAGTCCACAGAAAATGCATGTTATGAAAAACCACGCAGGGATTTCAAAACTTTCTGCACCAAAATAAACTTACCTTTCAAGTCCACTTTTCCACGAACCATCTTTCCTTTTATCCAAAGAGAAATACTCGTAACAAAAATAATTCTACACTAGGCTGTCAAAGGCACGACGAAGAAAAGAAACAGGCAAAATAATTTCATTATGTCTGCTGTCAGCCCACTAACATCCTTTCTATGATTTTCCTTCAATCACATGAGAGTTTCGATTTACAATGAATTCATTCAGTAAATGACCTACCCTGGACTCGGCATCATCCTCTTCCTCATCAGGATTGTAAGCTTCCGCACATACTACAAACACAAAAATAGACATTTTAAAGATTATTTCATTCAAAAAACCCCACATTACAATAAACACATCTTTAGAAAGGAACAACAAAGAGTACCATGGTACACAAAGCCCAGGGCAGGCAGTCTGCCCCTACAACCAGTTCCAACTTGGAACCTGCAAGGAATTTCCTAAAACAAAGCTGTACTTTAGGATACTGTCAACTGCTCTTTGCTTTCTCCCCTTTCAGAGACACAGAGTGTAAACGCTTTTGTCGTCTTTGCAAAGTAGAGAAATACCAAAGAACAGCAGCATAAAAACAGTCTAAGGTTGCCACACATGATCAAGTTATCCTCATATAGATTATGGAGAACTTAATCTGTGTTTCCCCAGTATTTTTCTTCACTAGAAACACAGGGGTGGGGTATGTCCAACAGGCAGGCATACGAGGTCTATGACATTGCAACTCCAGGCGGGACTCAAAATCTCAAAAAATCTACACCAGGCTACTTTTTAAACTGATCGTTTTGTATGTTGCCACACATGATCAAGTTATCCTCATAGATTATGGAGAACTTGATCTGTGCAGAGCAAACATTAGCAACATTCTGCCTATTCCTGTCTTCACTCTGCGTTGAGTTTCCATTGCTCGTTCAATTTGTTTAAAATCTGCTTTTTTCGGTTAGCACTGTAGGAACATCACATGCCACTGGAAACATTTTGTAAATATTGATTTTAAGGACTGAAGATTATTTGTCACAGGCTATAATTAACTACTTCCCTAATGCCAAACATTTAGCTGGATTTTATTAAAACAGCTTCACGGTAAGCATCTTCCTACATAAACATTTGTCCACATTTCAGATTATGCCGCAGGCATTATCACTGAATGTTATTCTGTAGGGCTGGAAGGTATGAGAATTTTCAGGCATATTTACACCAAATTTCTTTCCAGAGGAATCGCAGGCAGCATCCGTTGTTCTACGTAAAAAATGCTCCTCTAGTTGTAGAATGGAATTGAAGTTGTTTAAAATCTTTGCCAATTTAAAAGAGGAAAGGATTTAGATTTTTTTTAATTACTAAACTTGAATAATTTTTCAAATGCTTCTTGGCTGATTATAACACTTCATTTGTCTTTACCTGTGGGGGAACTCTAGGTTTCCTTTTTGATTTAATCCAGTTCCACAGTATCACTTTATCTGTTACGTTCTCATCATGGTCTTATCCAGTTTGCTTTCTTTTTAGTTTTTATTTATTTGAAAGGCAGAGACAGAGATCTTCCATCCACCGACTCACTTCCCAAACACCTGCAACAGCTGGGGCCGGGCCAGGCTGACGCCAGGAACCTGGAACTCCACCTGAGTTTCCCATCTGGTTGGCAGGGGCCCCATCAATCACGGAGCCACCACCTGCTGACCCCCAGGGTGCACACCAGCAGGAAACTGGAACCGGAAGCAGGCAGGGACTGAATCCCAGGCACTCAGGTGATATGAGCGCAAGTTGAGTCCTAACCACCGTGCCAAACACCTGCCCCCATTCAATCTGCTTTTAAACCGTAATTACAAAGTTTTCTGCACGCCATGCATGTGCGTTGATGTGTGACACAGAGACACCTACCAGGGCAGAAAATTCCTCAGTGTGATTTCAACTCAACCTTAAGGGTCACAAAGGCACCTCTCCCTTTGAACCTGGAAACCCCCCTCTTAGTATCTGCAAATCTGAAGATGTGTTACTTCTCTTCTTTCAATTTCTTAAAGGAAGATCTTCTCACTTCTACTCTCTTGCCCATAATGGAGTTTATTCTGGCACTGATATGGAAAGTTCCAGAACAAAAAATAGGCAAAGGGCTGACCAATGTCTTTCAGGGCAGGCCATCAAGAGCACTAAACCAACATTAGTACCACCATTAACACTCTATTGCAAAACCTGACCCTGGCTTTCCGTTCTTCAGGCACTGATCTACACATCCAGAGCGGTGGTGTCCAACTGTACCCTACACACAGGATGAGCGGCAATGTCGAGAGACATTCTGGTGGTCACAGCGGCTGGGGGGCTGGAGGGAGGCTGTCCCCACCACCACCACCACCAGCCCTGGACAAAGAATTATCTGGCCCCAAACGTCAACAGCACTAGGGCCTGAGAATCAATGACGTGAAGCACCTTATCTCATTCAATCTCAGAACAGCCCTAAAGTGGGCAGATGGAAAATGGAGGACTAAGGCATGGAGGGACCAAGGGCACACACTGTGGCATCTGATTCCAGGGCTGCCCGTCTGGACTCTGAAGCACCTGCTCCTCTCTGCTGTTCACGCTTGACTGACTGCCAGTGCAGCGTCTGCCCATCAGCTTCCTGCCTCAGAACCCTAACAGAAGCAGTCCTGTCTCTCAGGGCAGGCTCGCCTTGAAGATCCTCACTGATGCATGTAACCAGAACGCCCATTTAGTGACTGCCTTCCCCCATGAAGAATGGAGGCAGCACGACCAGCCAGTTCTCTCCCTGCAGGAACACCACAGACGAGGCCAACTCACAATTAAAAGGTTGCTTGGTGAGCAGGAAATGGGAAGGAAAAGAGTTTGTCAAATAAATTGAATGTTTAATGGCATCAGGCTGGACAGCCCGAGGCAACCACACACACAACACAGATGGTCCTGCTCCTGTGGCCGGGACACTTTAATTGGATTGGCTGCCACCCTCCAGGGAGCAGGAGGGACTTCTCCTCAGAAAGCCTGGCCCTGTAACTTTCTGTGTCTGTGCATGAGCTATGCCTCTTAGGTAGACTGCATAATTTGTAGGGCACAATGCAAAAAGAAAATTGGGCCTTGTGTTTGGAATTAATTAAGTTCCCAGAGGGTCACAACAGCAGTGCAAAAACCAAAGGCAGTGAGGGGCCTTGTGAGCATGGGGCCCGTGAAGCTGGCTCTGTTCACAGGACCAACATGAACAAGGAGGTGATGTAGGAGGTGAGATACTCAGTTCTTTAAGGCGAACTGTTACATACGCTGCTATATCCTCTGACCCTTAGTGTTCATTCGAAACTTAATTTGCAGAAGGCAATTCTAATGCTCTAATTTTTGTTTCCTAATCCCCAACTAAACACCATGTAGAGTAAGAATCTATGATTTTTCCATCAAATTGTTAGGTCAGAAGTCAGATATGAGTTTATGTGTGTGTGACAAAGGCCTAAGGAGACATCTATGTCCAGCATCTGCATCTCAAAGTCATCCCGATAACCTTTCAGGGGCAGCCCAGTATTTGCATCCTGCCCTGCCCCTTCTACCCGATAACCTGCCAGGTGGGGGTCCCCGCCCCTTCTGCCTGATAATCTTCCAGGTGCAGCCCAGTATCTGCATTTCAAATATCCTGCTCTGGATCCTGATCCTCCAGGGGGTCCTGCTCATCCTTCCTCTAACCGGGACAACGCCAGCCAGGCTTCCCCCTTGTCTGATAACTTCAGGGGGAAAACTCAGATAGGAATTTTTCATATTGACATCCAAAAAGTCTTTTGTTCCAGGAGGAGTAGAGGTGGAGAGGCAAGACCTATCCCCTTAAAAACCCCTGGCCTCAACCAGACTGCGCTCCCAGCCCTCTGCCTCTATGCTGAGCTGCCCGCCTGGCCAGGTGTACTCTCTCCACTGAACTATGTAACCCCGCTCTCCCCAGTCTGAGCAATCGATTGGGCACTCTCTCTCAGGTTCTGTCTGGAGAGGTGCCCATCCGTTCTTACGAATATCCCTGCCCTAATACACCTTGTTATTTGCTTTCCACTTACTCTCTGTCTCACGCCTGAATTCTTTCTTGCGCAAAGACAAGGACCCTGCAGTTCTCCGGTAACAAAATGTCCCAGCACAACTGAACAACACCCCTCTTTGGTTTGTGGTAATTATTTCATCATGTTTGTGGGCTGTTTCACTGAAGCATTTATTGTGCCACAATTGCAAGGATTTAGTTGTTACTGTTTATGTTCCAGTTGTTTCACTAGATTAGAGTTCATCTACCACTACTGCCCACAGCCAAATCAAATTAAAGCACCTGCCGTTTCATGAAGTTGCAATGGTGCCTTTCAGCTCTTTAAGGTCACTTAAAGTGTTCCCTCTAATTGGAACTCCCCCCACATTTTTCTTCCCAAATCATCCCTTCACTTGAACCATAAAATTAAAAAGTCACAGTTGAATTTTGTTCTTAAAAATTTTTTATTTAGGGGCCGGCACTGTGGCAATAGCAGGTAAAGCCACTGTCTGCAGTGCCATCATCCCACATGGGCTCTTCTTCAAGACCCAGCTGCTCCACTTCCAACCCAGTTGCCTGCTGATGCACCTGGGAAAGCAGCAGAAGATGGTCCAAATGTTTGGGCCCCTGCACCCATGTGGGAGACCTGAAGAAGCTCCTGGCTCCTGGCTTTGGATTGGCTCAGCTTTGGCCGTTGCAGCCATCTGGGGAGTCAATCAGAGGATGGAAGATTCTCTCTCTCTCTCTCTCTGAGTCTCTGACATGGGTGGCAGGGACCTAAGCACTTGGGCCATCTTCTGCTGCTTTCCCCAGGCCATTAGGGAGCTGAATCGGATGTGTAGCAGTCAGTATGGTTACCAGCACCCATATGGGATGCCAGCATTACAGGGTGGCGCTTTTATTAGCTATGCCACAATGCCGGGCTTAGGGTCACATCTTGACCTCTTGCCTACACAGAACTAATACAGGAAACCCCATTTCTGCACTCATCCTTTGCACACTTCCAACCAAGTGGGAAGAACTCATTACTGTCACTTAGCGTGCTACGCTTTCCCAAAGACATCACAATCGGTTTGCTCTCCGGGCTGGGACTTGCAGCCCCTTCAGAAACTGACTGTGTGATCTTATTCAAGTCCTGGGCACTGACCTAGCGCACTGCCTGGCTGAATGCACATTTCTGAATGAATGGCTGCTTAGGTTCTGGATGGCAGAAGGAACGCCTCTAATAACCCACAAGAGTGGATTTGTGTATGCTGAATGGATGGGTGAATGGGTTCAGATGTGCTACATGATGAC